GAGGACACAGTCCAATCCACAGCTGGCATTAAACAGGGTTGTAAGCTTGCCCCTACTCTTTTCTCCATGCTTACGGGCACCATCTTTCGGGAGCTCATAGCTCTTGTCGGTGCTCGTGCTGTGGTGGATTACCTCACAGGCTACGAGGATGATCTGACGGTTCACCGCGAAATCCACTCATTGGAGGACCTGGACCGCGCTCATGCTCTGATTGAGCAGCTATTGCAGTTGGTCCGCAGTCATGGATTTGCTGTCACTGGTGCCAAATGCACCGTCATGATAAAGCTCGAGGGCCAACAGGCGCCACGCGCCATATCCAAGCACACGTATTGGCGCGCCGCGCCTGACGGTACTTTAAGTATCTCGGAGTAATGCTCTCTTACTCTAACTTTGAGAAGGCTACTCTCAAGTTTCGGTTGCAGGAGGGCAATGCCAAATTGCAGCAGGTACGTCGCTTCGTTCACAACAGACGCACGGCAGGGCCGGCATCGCGGTTGCATATTTGGCATAGTACTGTCTGGGCCACCGTGGCCTCTGGGTTAGTGGATGTGGGCTTGACTTTGGAGACAGCCAAACTCTTGCGGGCTTGGCACGCTCGAAAAATCCGAGCTGTACTGAACAAGCCAGTGCACCTTACACACATATCGACCACTGACCTCTATGCCTCCCACGAGATCATACCCCTGCAGGTGATGTCTCTCTGACGCAGCAGGCGCTTCATCAAGCAGAGGCGGGCGCTCTCTGCCAGGTACGCAGACCGCAGACGTTCTGCAACAACTCTCCGAGGACACAGCGCAGCAGGAGGCCCCTCCCTCTTTCGCATGTCCGACGTGTGCTCAGGCCTTCGACACTGAGGTTGGTCTTCGCATCCACCAGGCCCGCAAGCATCCAGGCTCGGTTCTTAGATATGTCCCTCGAGGTTTTTCCCACACTCTCTCCGTAGGAGGGCTCCCCAAGTGTGCAGCCTGCAACAGGCAATTCCCTCAAATGAAGGGCTTAAAAGATCACCTGCTATCTGGCGCCTGTTCGGACTGGATGACGCGCCTCGCACCCTCCCTCAGACTCGCAGCTGATGCCCCGGTTGCATCCCAGGCAGCAGCGCTTGCATGACACCTTGACTACACACACAGCTGTTGAATTGGATGAGTCCTCAGGACCTTATGTCTTATTGCTTGCTGTGTGGGTTCTGGACTCCAGACAACACCAAACTCAAATCCCACATCAGGCAGGCCCACAAGCCCGAATGGGCCAATGGCTGGCGCGACACCGGGCCATGCTCCCAAACAGGACGGCAATACCGCTGTCGGAGCAACGCCCCTGACTCGCCAGGCAACGCCTGCAAGGCCCCTCGCCGCCGAATCCAGAGGCAGAAGGATCAAGGGACGGAGCACTCGCTGCTCCCCGCTCGTTGCGCAATATCTCTAACTACTGCTATGTCAACTCTACGCTTTCGGCATTGGTGCCGACGCGCATCTTGCTTGAGCACGGAGGAGCCAGCACCTCCCTCCACCACGAAGTGGCTGACTCCGCCTCTGGTTCCCCTTTTACCCTGACTGCCTCTTTCACACTTCGTCATCTCACTCCCACCCGGCGCTATGATGGTCAACAGCAAGATGCTTCGGAGTTCCTGGTAGCCTTGTTCGCTGGAATTACTGGGTTTCCAATCGCAAGACTTTGGGAAGTCAGGGATGGGCGCACTACTGAAGTAACGGATGAGGGTGGTCCGCTCGCCCTGCTGCCGGCTCCGACTGCAGCTGGCTCTCACGAACTCCAGGAGCTGATCTCTCGGTGGTCCGGTCAGCCAGTGTACGCTGCTTTTCGAGGGCAGCAACGGCTGGTGGTTCTCTCGGTGGCACGATTCGTTGAAGGTCGCAAGCTCAGTTATGCCGTAACAGGTCTACATCGCCCTGTTCAGCTCCCGCAGTGGGCCCCGACGGGCTCCGTTCAACTAGAGCACGGATGGGTCCAGTCCTGTGTCTTTCATATAGGAGACACTCCGCACAGTGGACACTATCGCTCCCTTTGGAGGAGCTCAACCTTGGTTCAGCACGGACGATGGTCGTCCGTCGGTTCCGGCCTCCGATTCCGATCTCAGGCAAGCACGCCACGGCTGCTATGTGCTGTTAGTGCGACTTGGTTCATTACGGCACACAGCGGAGGCTGGCCCTACGCCAGTCCATGTTTCTGATGATTAAGCTGAGGGTTCCCCTGCGGCCAGGGGCCCCTACTTCCTTTTACAGGGAGGGGGCGACCCACTGGCTCCGTGGGACCGACCTGCCTGCACGGCAGGGAGCAGGAACGCTGACACTCAGTTTTGCTGCTCAAGTTGTACGGCTGACGTAGCTCTTCTATTCAGCGTTTGTGTGCAATAGTGGCCTATACCTGTCATGCTAGTCGGGCAACGCCAGAAAGGCGACGCCTGTCAGCAACACAGCTGACCAATGGCTGAAATCGGCCTTATTAGGCACAGTGTGCTAACCGCCAGGGTGTGCCACATCGTTCACCGATGCAATCTGCTTGCCCACAAAAGCGGAGCTACCTCAGATAACAGCACTAGCAGCCGTTCCACGTGCTCATCACCTTTGCGACCTTACGGCCCATCGCCTCTGATTGAGAGTGACCATGAGTGGGACGCCACGCAACAGGCACTCTGAGTGACGGTCCCGCGGGGTACGGCTCATCAATCATTGGTTCGTGGACATGGGACGCCATAGTCCACACTGAGGGTGTCGGAGGGTTTCTCACCCACGCCTGAGTAATATGAGCTGGCCTCTGATGTAGCTTGTAGGGTAGCTCTCTCCTTACGTTAGCCTGTTCTCAGTGCTCTCAGGCCCAGGCCCTTTGCATTTCTGCTCTCAGACCTTTGCTCAGGTGCAAAGGCAGTCTCACACGCCCGCAATGAGCAGAGCCCGCTCGCTCAGCGTCCAATAAATTGTTGCTCTTGTTGTTGTTGTGGTGGTGGCGGCGGTGGTGTTGGTGAAGGCTGTGGTGATGGTGTTTCTACACTCCACACCGTACCCCACCCCCTAAACCCTATAAACCTGGTGGTGGTGGTGGTGGTGGTGGTGGCGGCGGTGGTGGTCCTAAACACCTGAACCCCCTAAGCCCATAGTATCTGTTCTAATCTTGGTGGAGTACAGCAAAGAACAGCATCAGTGGCAAACAACAAAAGCCATTTAACACAAAATCGACATATGTTAACATGAGTTAACATAAGTTAACATAAGTTGGCATAATAGCTAAAAACTTATCTTGAGGTTAGTAACTTCTATTTTTTCCAACCAACCTTCTAATAACTTCCCCCAAGTTAGCAGGGACTTACTACATGGATAGCGAAGGTGTAAGGGGGTTATAAAGGGGTTCCTAACATCTATATCTTGACTTCGGCCACACCCACAGACATAGTAGTTCACATGCACCATCATGTTTACAGTCTGTTGCTGTGTCAGTAGGTGCAATCACACATTTGTGGCCGTCGTAGCTAGTAATGTTGAACTACATTTTGTTCACGCAGTGCTGTGGATGGTCACTCAAAGTAAGTTTCTCTTTGTCCCATTCTGGAATGCTTTACGAATTGCTTGGGATATAAAAGCATACTCCGAGATGCCGTAGACTTTCAACAGAGGTCTCCAGGAATGGCGACAATACAAAACAGCCAACCTGGGGTTGCGGATTTTAACGAGAACAAGCATGCAAAACATCTCATCCAAAGGTATCGGACGGCTTGCCCATTTCAGATGATGCAAAACATCTGTCCTTGGAAGGATGCGCAGGGAGATATCGCTGTGGCCCCAGCTGTTATGCAACATGTTGCAACCCGTCCACCCTGGTTGTGAGGCTTCGGCCACTTTTGACACCCGGTCCTTCGTGTTGGATATCGCCAGCCAGCAACGAAGGAATACAAGAGCCGTGCCTATAAAAAGCAGGGGCAAAATTCATTCAGATTCATCGTTTCATCACCTTTTGGAATTCACGTCCATGCATGCCTTTGCTGCATTCTGGCAGGAGGCTGAAGGTGGAGAAGCTGCACGCCGAGATCAAGCCAGAGGAGTGCAAGGTCCGCGTGGAGGCAACTTCAAAGGATGTGTAATTCGTGAAAGCACATTCGCGAGTACAGCGCAACCCCGGGCCAACCTCAACTAGGCTGCCAGGCAGCTGTGCAGATCTGTGCAGAACATGCAGATCCCTTCAGGTCATGTAGGTGTCGACTCGCCGACACTTGCTTCCACAACTCCGCGGAGTACCACGTCCTTGTGCCCTAACCATTGTAGATCGTGATCCATGACCCCACGTCGAATCCTCGAGCCTTTTGCAAAGTTTGCATTGACCAAAAACTGGGAGCCGACCTGCGACATCACAAAATCACCACGGAATCTAAGCTGCGCACCAATGATTCTGCTGCCGAGCACTCAAAAGAGCCAATGGCTCAATGGTGTTCCTATGGGACGACACTTGCGGTCTTGTTGCTCGTTGGCTAGGCCGCGAAGCGGCGGGTAACAGTCACGCTGGCGAAGAAGCGCATCTGGACTGCACGTGACTAAACCGTGATGCGCTGGCCTCCGGGACTCTATTTGGAGCTCTTTCTCTGTCATGGCAAGCCCGAAGGTGAAACCAACTGGCGCAGCCTTGTCCTCCAGAAGTGAGAGCGAGTTGCAGTTATCCTGGAGGGCGGGTTTTCCCTGCAATGCCCTGCAGTCCTGAGCTTGCACGTAGCCGCAGCCTGACGAAGGATGTACAGGTCATGCACGCTGTGGAGGGAAGTGTTGCTGCTTGGGCAGTTGGACAAGACCAAAGCCTGAGCCCTTCTCTCAATGTCCCATTCCTGTCCCCGTGTTCCGTGCGTGTTCCGTCTGGCTTAGCCATTTCATTAGATGCTTTTCAATTGGGTCGTTTCTGCACCGCGGAACTCTGCACTGAGAGACCTGGACCTGAGATTTGGAGAAAGAGTCCGCCGATGCCACTCAGAGGGCAGCAGGCTCCGCCAGTACGTGGTGGCGCAGGTCCTCTTCGGTTGCTTCAAGCGCAAGCTGCGCAGCGACGTCAAGGCATGGACCCCGGGCGGGGTTTTTGTTTGGGGCGGTTGGGCTTCGGCTGCGGCGCCTTTTCGAGGTGGCCCAGCTGGTGGGTTACGTCTCGGAGCAAGCGGCGTATCATCACGGAGAGATGTCCTTGGCCTGGCACCCGGCTCGGGAGCAGCGAATTGAAGCACCGCCTTTGCTTCTCAGTCGGAGACCATCGTCGGCATGGCGCAGGATTTTGTTGGCTCCAACAACCTCAACCTGTCCCTCAGTCGCCTTGGATGAACATCCTTTTGCCTCAGAAGTGCCTGAATAACGTGCCTGATTGAGGCTCGTTCCACAAGGCCAGTTTGGCACACGATTGCAGGGGGGCAAGGTGCGTCGCAGGGCTTTTCGCTCCGTGGAGTGGTGATGCAGTGCTCACGACTCAAGACCAAAGGACTCGGCTTCTGCACGATACATCTACACGCGTGCTGACCCAAGTGTAGCCACACATCTATGGCTTGGGGGGCCGTGTGGGCCGGAGGCGGAGGAAGACATTTCAAGTTTTCTTGTTTTATTGATTCTCCGAGCTGTCCGTGCAGTCCGGTCCTCGGGTCTTCTGGTTGGTGCTGTCGTCTCGCTCTTAAATGACACAAAGAATCCAAGAATGCCCCCTTGCTCTGATGCTTTACGGCCAATCACAATGATGGATGTGATTCCTTTCGGCGTTCATTTTACTAAGTCCTTTAGGGGATGGCGTTGAAGTTGCCGGGTCTCATGACTCCCTCGAAGCGTGGAGCCTAATGTTTTAATGTTCTGATGCCAACAAGATATGGTATCAGAGAAAACACCTCGTCACCTCATGTCCTCCCAAGCACCTCCGCTGAAGACCGTTCGCCACAGTTCCTGGATTCGCGATGTACAGGCTGCAGGCCGAGCAAAAGCCCGTGCTGTGACCACCAATTGCTGGGTTGGGGCGGGCTTGCCTTTGTTGCACGCCATGGTGGTCCCACACTGTGCGATGGATCATGCAAATATCTTGGCAAAAAAGGGACGACATAGAGGGTAAGTCTAAGCTCCACTGCTTGCCTTCACAGAGTTGCGGTGCGACAAAGCGGTCGTTAGCGAGGCCTTGCGCCGATCACACGTTTTTTATTCCCGGCCTCAGCACGGCACTCAGCGATGCAGGATGCGAAGTTTCGGCTGCTCCGCCAACACAGTGTGACCGAACCACGGATTTGGATTCCGCAAGGACGATCCGGTGTTAGAGTATCTGAGCGAGGATGGCATGTCCATCGAACCTCGCTCCGTGCTCGACTGTCCTGTATCTTGTCTGAGCCTCGGAAACCCCGAAGTTGCTGAGGCTGGTATTGTCCAGTCATCCCGATGGTCTTGGTCAACGGTGTCGAAGGGATCGGCATCTCGGCAAAATCCCCCAGTTCCGGCTGGAGCCAGCTCGGTCCCTGCCACTCAGGCACGGGCTGGAGTTCGTCCGTGCCGAATTTCAACCCACGTGCACCTTGGCAAGTGGAGCCGCGTGTCACAGACATGACCTTGCAACAGCCCGTGAGGACATCATCGAGAATCTCAGGCGCGGTCGTCCGGCAACTGTCTTGTCTTCATGTGGTCATCCTGCCGCCTCCGCAGGAGGTGGCTCAAAAAGCAAGAGATGAAGGAGATGACGCCGTGGTTTGCAGGTGGGGCAAGAGCCTGAGTCGAATGCTCGAGATGTTCCTCCTGTCACCAGGTTTCACCGGCAGCATCGCGAAGTCGCGAGAGGAAGGCAAGTGGGAGGCGCCTTCTTGGAAGCCCAGACCTGCCGTGCAAGATCGTCTGGTTGCTCTGCCAGGTCACGGGCAACATCAGGAATCTTGGGGAAGGCAGGAGCATGCTGGCACCCATGAGCCTAGAGCCCAACATTAAGAGCATTGAGCACGTGAACTGCAAGCGAGAAAATGAGACGAAGAAAAGAAGAAGAACGTACGCGGCTCCGAGACCCAAGCAGAGCCAAGCCTGCCCAACGCTTCTCCGAGCGTCTGCCGCGAGCGTCCGCAGCGAGCGTCCACCGCGAGCGTCTGCTGCGAGCGTCCGCCGCGTCCGCGAGCTTTCGCGTGTGAAGCCGCCGAGCCAAAGTACCTGGGAAGCGAGGCAAAGCCGAAATCACCGAGCTGCCGGTGAAGCGCTGGACACAGGCAGCTTCTGTGGCAATTGCTGGCGCACCGCCGCACCGGTGTTGTGCGGCCAGGACTATCGAGAAATCCTGGAAGAGAACCTTCCCAAAGGGGAGCTCCGCTCTCAGCGAATGCTCCCAACAAAAGCTTCTAGCTGAATAGCGAGAAGCCCTTGGATCCAAAGGAAGAAACGGGAGGGGCCAAAGCTCCTAGAGGACTACCAAGAGTACTGACCTGAGGACTCTCCAGGCCCAGAATTCCATGAAACGTACAACCTGGGGAGGTACCACAGCGAGAAGTCCGTGCACTTTGAGCCAGATGCCCAGCCCACATCTACCGGCGCGGTTTGCGCTTTGCGGAGTCCTTTGCGGACCTCTCTCAGGCTGTCTTTGAGCTCAGAGGGCCAGCTCCATGCGGACAAGGAGACACAGACACTCTAGTCTGGGCTGGGCCTTCTGCTCGGAGAGAGGGCCCCTTTTTTTTTTGGCTGTGAGAGACTGACGACAGAGGACAACTTGGAGAAGGCAGGCCTGCGCGCGCCCAGCAGTGGTGGGGACCTCTGCAGTGCCTGGGGGGGATGTCACCGCAGGTCTTCAAGCTTCGCTCCTCCATCAGCATGAACAACATGGTGCCTTATAAGGGGCCTTGACGTCGTGTCGACGGCACTTCTCTCCTGTCAGCACTGGCCCCGACCAGATGCTCTTCGATGCTGACGGCAAGATCAAGAAGTACGTGCGGGCCTTGGTTCCGAAACTGCAGCAGCTGCCCACCCGCCCCAAAATGCCGTTTAAGGATACTCCAAAAGACATCCTGCTAGACTTCGCGCAAGTCCGGTTAAAGATGTACGAGACGTGGTGGTCTCGGTTTTGCAGACACAACGCTGCTCACACAGAACAGCTGAGGCGCAAGGCGTACTTTCTGGCGCGGCTCACTCGCGAATGTGAGGCACACCTGCTTGGGTTGGCACTAGGTGTGCTTCACCATGCAGTGTCCTTCCTGGTTTCGCCCTGTCTGTGGCAAGCCCTTCAGGTGTTGAGTGCGAAGGCACGCTTTGTAAAGTTGGTAATCGAGGGGAGAATTGTGATCCGAAAGCGGTCGATGCCCCAGCTTCAAAGCAACCGAATTGACTCCGCGTATGGTGATGCATCAGGAAAATAGCTGACTTGGCCCAGGAGATCCGCGAAGCCGTGCACAGCCACAGCCACTGATACTGAGAGGTTTGGAACCGTCTTGTTGGCAAGGACCTCCGGAAGCATGGCTTCAAAGCACTTCGCGACCTCCAAGGCTCAAAGCTTCAACTTGCTCGATGAATCGAAGTGCCGCTGAAAGCTCTTGAGGCGAACAGTCTGAGGAGAAGGAGGACTTGCCATGCCTCCTTCGTGTGCCATTCTGTCACAGAATATCCACGTACAGAATGCTGTACACGATTTTCGCAGCTGTTCCTCTCAAGATGCAGGCTTATTTTGAAGTGGCGAATGCGCTGAAGACTCTGTATTTTTTTGTACATAGCTTCCCGGTGACCCGACTCCGTGGCAGCTGCCCCGGGCTATCAAAAGAGTCCTGTGTCGACACAGAGCAGATCAAGCGAGGCACGATGCCTCGCAGCGTTGTCTCGGGCAAAGTTGTCTTCAGGCGCTTTTCTGACGCTCCGAGGGAGCGACAATGAAACCAAGGGTTTTTCGCCTCTGCTCTCGAAAATTCTAGACCTCAATATCATTCGACCCCGTTTACGCATGCCTTGTACAGTTGACCCTCTACTTATAGCATGCGCGTTTTTGCCACTTGGCACCTCTAAAGACCACTTCAAATTAGTGGCAGAAGGAGGATTGGATCGAAAGGGCAGTTCGCAGGTCATGGAGAAGCTCAGTGACGTTCTTCTCCTCCTCCTCCTCCTCCTCCTCCTCCTCCTCCTCCTCCTCCCTCTTTGCACAGCACTTTTCACATGTCGCCGGAAACCTGCGGCCAGCAGAGCCCCAGAGCCCCTGCGGCCGAGGGCCGAGTGGACTTGCAGTAGACTCAGCATCGCCAAAGGCGTAGACGAAGTTTACTCGTCTCGTCGGCAGACCTGATGTTTACCCTTCGAAGGTTTCCGCGTCTCTGTGATCGTGTGTTGTTGGTGTAGGTGCTGCCACTGCTTGCAGACAATCGAAGAAGAGGTGGAGGTGCTTCTGGAGACGCTCCCTCTGCTAAGCAATAGACCCGCTTCACGAGAGCGGAGGGGTGAATCAGCGCAGCAAGGAATTGCTACTGCAGCCGGGCTTGCCTCAAGGGCGGCCCAAGGCGCCATGAGAGCTGCATGCAGGATCTCGGCATATCTGAGCTCGGAGGCAGCTTGATGGTTCGTGCATCGCGACGCCTGCCTGGGTGATGCCGCCACCGAAGAATGCCCGAAGCACAGTCTTTGTCCTCTTCGGAGCCTCCTCCAACCTGCAGCCGAGTTCTGGTGCCAAGCTATTCTTTGCTTTGGGGATGTTGGCGGACTTACACAGCTCCCCAGGCACCAAAACCATTGGGACGAAGGCAGGGGCGGCTGGGTGTCTGAGAGTGTTTGGAGCATCAACCTCTATTCTCGCAGGCTCTCCGTGGATGAGCTCCCGATCACAGACGCGAAAAAGACTGAGGCCTTGGGGGTGCTTGTGGAATCGCACAGAGAGCGGCCTTCTTTCCTTGCGGGAGGCCATCATCGCGCCTACATCGCACTGGCTCCAGCGCGTTTCCAAGGCCCTCGGCGAGGCTCCACGGCCAGCGGCCCGCATCGGCCCGCAAGCCCCAGCAAATACTCGACGTCGTCACAGGCGCTGCTGCGCCCGAGCACTTGGTTATTAGAGTTCCTGCAAATCCTCGTCGGGGTCCTGGAGAGTTTTCATCACGACTCGTGCTCGCGCTCGCCGCCGAAGCATTCGAAGGCCTTGGGATTCGGCACAGACCTGACTGCGATTGCCGACGGCAATTTTTTTATGAAGGCGACATGTCATGCCAGGTCGAGTCGTAGATTCCCATCGTGTTCAGAGTCTCCTGTGTTGCAGGCAGCTCAGAAGCGCGGAGTGTGACAAACTGTCCTTCCATCGTGATGGGCCCCGACGCTGTCGCCTTGGGCCCTTGGGCCCTTGGCCACCTTAATTTGAGTGCCTGGGCCAAAAAAGGCCCGACGTGTACAGAGAGCGGTCGTCGGACTGTGGACGCCAGCACCGGCGCAGCCCGGCCCTGCTCTGCCCTGCGAGATCCTTCGAGGGCGTGAAGTGTACATATCCCGCTGCCGGAACAGATCCGGCCGACTCCCCAACCCTAAATGGCCCTGAATCGCAAAAAAGCCGATTCGATCTCGAGAGCTTGCGCAGGCAGAGGCCGAGGAAGAGGAAGACGGCAGCGGCCAGGAGGCGCGGCGGCGTGGCGGTTGGGGTGGGCCGTTCCGGCAAGGGTCCGAGTCTGACAGGAGGAGGATGCCGCAGACGTCACCAAGACAGCCGTGAGGCCAAAGAAAGCAAGCAAGACACCATAAACATATATTCAAGCATCCTTCTGTGGCAGGGACTTCGAATACCTGGTGGGCATGCCGATCTCCACTCTTACTGCTGAGAAGGTGGCCAAGCTTATGCAGGAGCATGAGGTCAAGGCCGACCCGCCGAGCCGAATCAATTTCTTTTGTGTCTTGCCAACCAACCTTTGCCTCTGAGGCCAGGGAGCAAAGAGAGCTGCAGAAGAAGAAGCCTTCCGATCTTTGGCTGGAGGCCATATGGCACTCTGGCACTCCAATCCACTACGCAACATGGCCACTATATGTAATCATAAGGACCTGCAAGCTTTGGAAGTCGCGCTGGATGAACGCGATGCCGCCGATGACTCAGCAAGATCAACTCTGCAGCGTTTGAGAACGCGAAGTATGGCGAATTTTCGTGACTACGCAGAATTCCAGCTACGCACACTGAATGTTTCAGTCGGTGTCCTTTTTCGACCCCACTAGCTACTTGCTCCTGCTTGCTCCTCCTCATCGCATCCACTTGCTGTTGGTGAGTATGCAGGGGAAACGAGCTTCTTTCCTCTGAAGATCTGTGTTCTGGTTAGATACCGCAGCTTGGAATTAAATAGTGTCGTGTCTTGTTATCGTTCGAGTCTCGTGTCGGGAACGTGTGCAAGCTCTCGCACTTGCAGAGATTATATATACAGCAGCACGGACATTTGTTTCTATGGGACGTGCTACCAGTCTTGATCATGCCAGGCGGCCTGCGATGCAGAGGAAAAGGAGAAGGCAGCTCCACCGTGGTTCAACTGATGCAAGGCTGCAAGGCCAATCGTAAATGCCTCGCGTCGTCGCCTCGGCCCGGCCTATTGCTCGGCTGGTGTTTCTTCTCGAAGCAGCATATGCAGCACTGGGCAAAAGGGGTGGGGCGGGGATGGGAGGGGTGAAACCATGGAGTCATGTGCCTGATGCCTCGTTTGATACGTTTATTTCTGCTCTTTTGTTCGTTGTATGCTTTGTGCGTTCTTGGGGGTCAGAGGGTCTGAATTGTACAGTTCGAGCGTTTCCTGTGTAAATCGAGCGCTTTTGTCTGAATCGAGCGCTTTTGCTCTTTTGAGCCTGGATGAGGTCCAGACATCGATCCTAGATCGTCTATAAACCCAAAACTTGAGTTATTGAAACCCTAAATATCTAATCCTCAATTGATCCGTAAGTCCCAGCTACACCCACCCAGCTTGCATGTATACGCACCCAAGGGTCGTACTAACTAGTATATGCATGCACGCATGCTTGCGGTAGGGTTTGCAATGGCGCCACCCATCGCTCGGCTTCGGCACGTTCGGAAGGCGCGAGCTCGAGAAGCATCATGAGCATTTGCACAGCTTGTGGTAGGGCCCATAGGAACCTTGGCTGATCTGTATTTGCAGTCATACCATGCATGCAACATGATCATCATCAGCTGTACTGCGTGATTTCTGGCCAGGTGGCCTTCGCCGATCGACGCAGTGGCTTCTGCTGAAGCCTTGCAAGGTGCAAGCCCTCACTGCTTCCGCTGATTGTTGCTGACTGTCGCTCATGCAGCTAGCATACTGTGAAAGTCGAATGTGCGATGTGAACTTGGGCCTGCATGTGCATGCTTTTCAAGCTGGCACAAGGCAACATGAGTGCAGGTTGCATGCATCACATGCACTACACACGTAGCTCTTACGAGTTATACTGCTATAGCTAATGGCCCAAGCCATGGATGCGAGTATGAAAGCCGGGGCCACCGACCTGGCCAAGGAGTGGGAGGCCAACTCTACCGTGCGTCGTCGAGCTGCTGTGTACACGATGGTACTCTAGTTGCACAGGAAAAACCATGCGCATGCAGCTACGGTTTCATGTCTCTAGACTATATATAGCTATATAGTATCTATATATCTAAGGTGAAGTTGCCTCCGAGCGGAGCCATCGACCGTGACGCCATCGATCTCAACGAGGATCTCCTGAAGCCCGTGATCGTACATTTGGGTGCGAGGGTGAGTGTGGATGTTCTAGAGACACACCTGATGAGCTTGTATGAGATGATGGCACTGCCTTTATCCAGCACCTCGCCTATATCGAATGTGTCATATCCATGCATGCATGCATGTTAGATTATTAAGTGCATGGTTGTCCAATCTTAAGGCGGGCAATCTTCGATTATGGCGTGGTCGATTAAGAGGCTTGTGTCGGCCTTCAAGAGAGCGATCTCGAGGCCTCACAGGCCAAGGTCTTCGATCATCCGCAGCATCATGGAGCATGCTGGGATCCCAGTGCCGGCAGCAAGCGCTGCCGGGAGTGACGATGCATCTGATGAGATGATTGAGGGGGAAGAAGAAGAAGAGTTGGAAGACGACCCGCCCATGGACGAGCTCCCTTCCGGCCCAGTGGGGCCAGCAGCTCCTGAGCCAGCCCATCATGATGTGAAAGTGAAGGAAGAGCAGGTGGAGGAGGAACTCCTGATGGTAGCCCATCCCCCCAAGAAGCCTCGGAAGGAAACCACGACAGCGGCCTCCAGCGAACCCGGAAAGACAGGAATCCCCAGCGCAGGAAAGGCCTCCGATGAATCAGGAAAGGCCCTCCCTGAAACAGGAAAGGCCCCCAGCGAGACAGGGAACGCCCCCAGTGCGTGCAAGGCCCCCAGCGAGGCCCTCAATGAATCAGGAAAGGCCCATAGTGAAGCGGGACAGGCTCTCAGCGAGAAAGCACCCAGTGAGTCAGGAATGGCACCCAGCAAGGCCCCCAGCATGGCACCCAGCAAAGCCCCCAGCAAGGCCCCCAGCAAGGCCCCCAGCAAGGCCCCCAGCAAGGCCCCCAGCAAGGCCCCCAGCAAGGCCACTACCACCGAGACCAGAGACAGAGAGGCTCCTACCGATAGAGAGGTCCCGGCCACACCCGAAACCAGAGAGGCCCCAGCGACAACCGAGACCAGAGAGGACCCAACGACAACCAAGACCAGAGAGGACAAGCCTGCTCCCAAAAGGGTAAAGGATCCACGAATGCTGGAGCTCAAGCATGCCTTTGAGAGTTCTGCCAAACGCAAGAAGTGCAAGGGTGTGGAGGAAGAAGGTGTGGTCTTTTGAAACAATATTAAGCCCGGTATTCTAGCTACTGTGTATATATGGTACATTAAATCTTAATAGCTTATACGTGTGCAGGTGCTCGTGACGGCACATCGACTCCAACGTCAACGATTTCTACGGCAGCCTCTACCTACGAAGGAGGTACCACTGAACCCTGAAAAACCCTAACCCCCGAAACCCCGAGAATCCCAAAACCCTAAACCCTGATAACAGATCCGTCCTGTGAACCTCTGCCGCCAGGCAATGCCCACGTCGTTATCGCCTTGGAGGACGGCTGCTACGAGTGCCAAGGCTGTGGTTTGATGGGTGACCTTGCCACGATCACTTCGGTGGAGTGTGATGCGAGACGGCGAGCTAAGATCAAAGAGCTTGCGCCTAGTCTTAAACTGCACTCGGCATGAGAGGATGCTGCAGTCTAGATGATAACATGCACATAGAACTACTAAGGAGAAGCTCCGGGATCTGACTGTGGCTTTGCAAGATATGAAACGACAGCGCCTTTATGAAAAGGAGGCTGCAGCTGAGAAGACCAAGCCATCTGTGAAAGCTTCGAAGAGCCCTTCGAACAAATGCCCCCGTGCCTTAATAATGTCGTGCATACATGCATTGCACAATATTCTGTCATGGCTTTCTCACAACCTCCAATCACGTACAGTAATCCTGCCCAGGCACAGACAATCTGGAGACGCAGGTGTGGATGGAGGATTCGCAACCTCCGTGGGACCCCACACGCAAAACGTTGTCGTTTGATCATACTGAAGATTCCCCTGTTGGGTCCGGAGTCGAGACTGCAGAGCCTATGGTCTATGTGGGGTTTTCCAATGAGGTTTTGCGCCGGAGTGAAAGGTTGCCAAGCGAGCCCAAGATTGAAGTTAGCAAAGCCGCCAGCAAACCAAAGATTGCAGCAGAAGCCACCAAGCCAAAGATTGCAACAGAAGCCACCAAGCCAGAGATTGCAACAGAAGCCGCCAAGCCAGAGATTGCAACAGAAGCTGCCAAGCCAGAGATTGCAACAGAAGCCAGTTCCAAGATCGAGGTGGCAACCAAAGGGGTTCCCACGCGTGGTTCGAAGGTCAAAGGCTATGATGCCCCGGCACTCCCTGCAAAGCCCTCGTGTATGGCCAAGATTCCCCCCTCGATCTGCCCCAAAAGCCAGAAGCGTAAGAAGGAGGAGCAAGAGGAGATCGAGGAACCAGAGGAGGAAGCAGGAGATGAAGAGGATGTGGATGGTGATGCATGCACCGAAGCTCCGGACGATGAGCCCAACGAGGCAGACGATGACGATGGTGATGAGGAGAACGATGAGGAGTGTGATCAGGAGGAGGAAGAAGAGGAAGTTCCCGCTAAGGTTTTCCGGCGACCAGCATCCAAAGCTAAGTCTATGCCCAAGGCAAAGGCAAAAGCGAAGGCGAAGGCGAAGGGAAAACCTGGCCGACCTCCGAAAGCCTCTGCGAAGACCTCTTCCAAGAAGCCCCAAAAGACGAAGTCCGAGAAAGCACAGGTCGATGCAGCAAGCAAGGCATTGAAAAGCCGCAAGAGTGTGGCGTACCACAAAGCACGTGCTGATGCTCTAGCAGCCGGGATGAGTGCCGAAGAAGCTTCGGAGATCGGCAAGGAAGCTACTCAATTGCACGTTAACATGCACAGTGTGTTCGTCCTCTCGAAACGATCATCTGTCTAAGGCATACCGAACCACGGTGTGATGTGCATCCATGGCGACGATGTGCCAGCAATTTTGATTTTCGCTGGTTCTATGGGTACTTGGGGTGATGTGCAGTATGCTGCAGCGACTAGAAGTTCGCTGCCGATCCTGGCATTGATGGTGCTGGGCTAGCGCGGTACTGTACACGGCATCAGGATTTTAAAACGATTGTGAAGGATCACGATCTTCTAGCTTTCATGATTTCATTTTGGGGCACACGTGCAGCCGCGAAAGACGACAGCGCAAAAGAGAGGTCTGCATATGCACGCACGGCGCATGCTCTGCCTGAATCATTTATATATATAGATCTTTGACTACGCATGGTTGTGTGCGCAGGTCTCCCTGGTCGTCAATGGAGAGATGGGCCTGTCGAGCTATGTCACAGGGCACTGCTGCCTTGATTGCCACATGCACACGTACTCACTCTGCAGAGCGACGCTTTATCGGATTGCACAGTGTTGTCGCCCGACGGCTCAGCTGATTCATGCGGTGTTGCATGATTCATGATTTGTGCATGGTAAACCATGCCGATTGCCCGATGGGAATCCCTGATCCCGAACCTCGTGCAGCTACAAGCCCCGAAGGCCCATCCTGGTGTACTCCTAGCAGTCGTGTATAGCCCATCATGCAGTGAGTAGTCGTGTTGATTGAATTGTGCCGGAGGTTTTCATCGGGTGTGTGCTACAGCTGCAATCATGGATCGAGTTATATGCCTCCCGGTCACCCGAACCCTGCGGCCTTCATCACTTTCCAAGGTGCTGCTATTGATGTGGACCAGCAACATCGACCTCCGCATGCAGGTGGAGATGCTTGAGCTCTTTAGTGGAGATGCGAAAGTGAGTCGAGTGTTCCGAGAAGCTGGGAAGAGCACTGTTTCGTATGATCTACTCTACGACCCAAACGGGCGGTGCATGAACTTCTTATCATCTGGGGGCTTTGCGTGAAGGGCTCAGTCGATATGCATATCATGATTGCAGCTCTAG